GATTAAATACAGAATTATTATCTCAAGGCGTTTTACAAAGCGCGTGTCCACTTATCAGGTTTTATATCTATATTTTGCATCCATTATTTTTTTTAAATTATTCTCTATTTTGAGACAAATTCAATTTGGAACCATTCTCTGTCGGAGATCATTAAATTCTTTTCAAAATTTCATCCCCGACATTGGACACAGGAAAAAATAGGTATATAGATCCTCATCACGAGCTTCAAAATTTTATAGTTTTTACTTCCAAATTTTGCACTATACATAAATTTATTGCAATAAACATTTTAAACAATTCTCGAAATGCATATTATTATTCTTTCCGAAAATTGATCCCCGATAATCAAATATTTCTACAGGATAAAAAATCTATCTTACATAATCTATCTTACACTTGGCTTCATAATTATTAATAAAAATGAAATTTACAAAAAATTATGGAATTTTTTCATTATTAATTTCTATATCCCACGATAAGAATGTTTGCTTTTAATGTTTCATTTTTAAACAATGCATACGAAGATTATTTTTAGAACATAAAATTTCGATGTAGAGCAAAACTTCGTTCGTGGATTTATTATTACGTAGAATTTAATTACATGCACCTAAACCGCCAGAAGTCAAAAACTTCTTTTTATGTAGCATGGAAATTTCACAAATATTGTAATGATTTGCAATTTAAAATTAAAAAAAAAATAGTAATAAAAAATCAAATCTATTAAGCGTATCTTTGGTTTGACTAAACTGTGAAAATATATTTATTGCCCGGGTTATATTACTTCAACAATATTTTTATAAGTATAAAAAATATTGCGAATAATAATAAAATAATAATTTCTTTACCTTGGTATGGTTATGCGGTATAGTTTCCGTAAATAGTACAAGTTTTGTTTGCATTCCAAAAAGATACTGAAACATAAAAACCAAAATCGCAAGAATATAACAAAATGGCCATTACAGCCAATTTAATTATCAATAATAATTAAATAATATTAATAAAGCAAACTATTTTTTCCGTCAATAAGCAAATAAACTTTGTGCTTAATTTATATCTACTTGGTAATTTATAAATACCTCCTAATGACTAATTCTAGTCACCAGAATCCTAATGACTTTCCCAGATGTGGCTACCAGGGACCCACGATTTACTGTGGCCTCAAAGTGCCTATTTCATCAACAGAATTAAACCAGCGTTTTGGAAATTTACAATAAAAAGTAAAAAATTTTGAGTGATAAACTAGATTCAAATAATTTGCAAGCTTTTGCTAAATTATAAACATTTGGTAAATGCTAACTTGTAAAACTGAAAAATACTATCATAAATTTAACCTAGTGACTATAATAATAAAACGATCGATGTCTTATTTAACTTTTGTATATTGTATGGTACATTGAGGTAACTTATGTACAATAAAACATTACATCCATTGAACTAAAATTTAACATTTTCACCGCAGGATAAACAAAATTTCTTTATAATAATGTAACTTACTATTATATCTTTAATTGGCAATATACAATAAAATAGTTAGTTCCAATTTAGGTACATATGAAAAAAGCGATATATGTATGTACATAACAAACGCGTTAATTAATTAACATTAAGAAATATTTTATACCAAAAATAATTCAATTCCGTCTTAGATCTTATTCTCCAAAAGCAAAGATATGTGCTTAATTATTTATCATTCAAACAGTTCATTTAAATATAAAAACAATTCAGAATCCAACTCACCAAAATCTGATGCCGGTGCACTAATAAAATCGGACAGAATGAAAATGTGCATTCTCACACAAGGAATCCGCCAAATGTGTCTGTCAACAACATGGAACTACATTGCGACATTGTAAAAAAAAGTGTTACTCAATTACTGAAAATAATACTCACATAATTTAATATCAAAATTTATAAAAATGATCAGCAATTTTCACATGTGCATAAATTTATATATACATTGCATGTTTAAAAATTAATAAAAAATATCTTTTTAAGACATTGTAAATGAAATAAAATATTTACTCGCGAACTAATGAACTAATAATTAAATGAACAATGTAAATGCAAAAAAATCTTCTAATTATATTATTTATTTATTATTAATCATTTACTTTGTTGCTACACAGATGCACAGTTTTCAATTGTCAATTTACACTTAGCGATAAAAATTGTAGACGTTTTTCTTTACAAATTGAAAAAGCTACTTACGCCAAATCACTAGAAAAATGTACATTTATTAATCAATTTATTATTCAAAACACTAAAATGTGTCAAATTAATATTTTTAATGTTTGTCAAGTTTTGTATAAAAAATGATCACTATTCATTAAGTTTTCGTAATAATGTTATTAATGAACTTCTTGTAGATGCCGAGGTAAATGATAGAAATCCGAAGTGATGGTCACGTCAAACGTAGCAATAGTTTGGCCGATTAGTGTTTTTTTAAAATTGATACTTGAGAAACATTAAGTGGCTTAAATCGCATCACGTTTGACGTGGCAGTATGTAAAATTTTAACTATCGAAGTCTTGAACGGGCATCCACTTAACCATTGTCTTTAACTTATTTAAATTGAATTTGTTGTTTTGAAAGAGATGTTAATCGGGGCGCTGTTAATCGTACTACTCATCCTGTTCGTTGAGCTGGGCAAGCAGCAGCGCCCGCTTCGTTTCTAGTTCCGTCTCGCTAAGGTTTTCGCCGTCCTCATTCGACCTGGGAGATCCTGGTGTCGAATACACTGACCCCGAATTCGACCTGCGCCTCCTGCTCTCCTCGCCCTTATTCTTATGGCGGTGTTTTTTGCTAGGAACCGATTTCGCTAGCTCGTCATCGGAATGGATCGGCGACGCAATCGGTGAGGCCGAGTCGTGACGACGGCCGCGAGACGACGGCGATCGCTCCTCGGAAATGGGCGAACACTGCAAACCCAAATGCCAAAGACATTTCGCGTCCAGTTAATGCATCGTTGGACAATGTTATTAATTTACTAATGGGCGATGTTAATTACTTTTACTAAAATAACGATATTTACATATTCAAGTTTCTTCACGTGATAGGAATGAATTAATGAATAAGTTTTAAAAGACATCAACGTTGTTTCTCGCTCCTTAGATATAAATACCAGTTTGTCTTTATGTTCAAAACAACTATCAAAGTTATATACATTATACATAACAGTAAAAATTTGCGTAAAAAACTGACAATACTTAACCCTTTCGCTACGAGAGTGTTTTCTGAGCAAACACAGCCAAGTATTTTTTACACAGGATATTTTAAAATTTTCCAATCATTATCGATAAAAATGTATTACAAAATTAAAAATTGCGCTCTTATAAAATTAAAAATCATAATAACAAATTGAATAAGCAATAGTTGAGACACTCAATGATGTAATCAAATAGGTCACTCGCAGCGTAAGTGTTAAAGATTCCACAAAAAACAAATCAAGATATATATACTATAATATTAACATCCTGCAAAATCTAATAAATTATTCATATTGATTGGCAATGATAATTAGATTCTCGGGCTTGTAACAATGATTTAGAATATATATCTCAAACAATATTGTCACATCAAAGAAAAGGTTAAATCATCATTATTATTCCAGATGTTTCGATATTAAATCCTATGTCATTATCAGTGGATTAAATTTTTTTTTAAATTAATATAACGTACAATAATCCAATGAACTAATAATTAAATAAATATGAATCTGAATTTGCCTTGGATGCATTGACTTTTCTGTGTTTCCAAAAAAATATATATATTTGAAAAGTAATTACTATAACTGTCAGTAACATGCAAACTATTTATCTTTTACATTTTCATATTATTATTGTACGTTATTTTTACTTAAAAAAAAATTTTTAATCCATTGATGATGATAGATTTTTATGTTCAAAACACCTAAAATAATAACGATATTATATAATCCTTAGAGATTTTAAATCCTTGTTATACATCTGAGAAACAATTATTATTCACAATTAGTATTGATATGATTAATTTTGTTAGTTGTCATAAAATGCTGAATTCTGAAACTTGATGTAATGACCTTCAACAATGTATTTATATTTTTCAACATCAATATTAATTATTCTAAATATATGTATTAATTTATAAACAAATAAATAAATATATGTATATATATATATATATTTATTTGTTTATTTAAATATTTACTTGTATGTATATATATGTGTGATTTTTATGAAGATGTCTTGTAAAAACTTATTCAAAATTTCAATTCCGGTATTTTTTAAGGCTGTTAATACTTGCACTTTAGAAAAAATAACAAAAAATTGAATAAACATGATGATAGTCATTTTTGTACAACATGTATTTTATGAAAATGATATATTAAACATATAAGGAAACAATGACATAATCATCTTAAATGATCACAGCTCCTACTAGTATCACGGCACTGCAGCCTGGTGATATCAAGAGCTATCAGACAAAATTATACTTACACTAGGACTATGTTTCTTGTGTTTTCGTTTGTTTTTACGTTTCTTTAGCATCGCCGTACTGTCAGTGCTCCTTATGGAACTACTCTGTAATTTAAAATAAAATACATTAATACTGTGTTTTTAAATAATTATGACAATATCATTAAAATACGTACACTTCTGGACCGAGACATCCTTCTTCCCTTTTTAGATTTTTCTCGTTCCCGCTCATACTCAGAAAATTCTGTTCCCTGATAATAAAGACAGTGAAAATTAATAAAATATAAGTAATAATAAGTTTATTATAAAATATTTGATGTGCAACTTACAGATCTTGATGAAGATCTATTTCTTTTTTTATTCTTCTTATTTTTTTTAGATTTCCTGGATCGAGAATGATAATGACTACAACTATCTTCTATTTCATGTATATACTCCTATAAATTATAAATTAATATATTAATAAATAAACATGATGCAAATATTTTAAATTGAAATAAAAATATACTAAAGACATCAATCAACTTAAAAAAATAAAAAATATGTATTTTCTGAAAAACATCTTATGAGATTTGATTGTTGTATCTGATTTTTTTTTATCATTTTAAGAGAATAATATTATTAGTGTTGATAAATCTGTTAAAATTACCTGCCAAACTCTTTCTCTATCAATCGGACTTTCAACTGCCTCCCATTCATGTGTATCCTGTAATTGTTCTACAACTTGTGTATAATCCATGCTCGGATCTAAATTTGAAGATTTCATTAAAGATTTTAAGGCATTTTCTATTTTCTTTTGTTTCTTTGCTTCATCTTTTAGACGTTCCTTTTCTATTGCTTCTGCCTATAATCGTAAATGACACAAATTCAGTACATAATCAGATAAAATATTACTCAAATCAATAAAATAAATATTGATAATATATAAAATAAATAATAGGATATATAGGATAGAAAGTTGTTAGTACCTTTTCTAGTAATGAGTTAAATGTTAATTTAACATTTCCAGCATCTAAAGTTGCAGATCTTTTATCTTCACAAACAACCGTTGCAAAATCTTCAAATGTTGTGCTTGGACTGACTGCAAATTCTTTTTCTTTCAGAATTTCCTTTATGACCTTCTTTTCATCATGAAACCTAGCTTTCAGATCTTCTACATAAAATTTAAACAGGTCCAACGGTGTTGAACCAGATTGACCTAGAGTCGATTGGAATAATTAGAATTCATTACATACTAAGAGATACTAAGGTTTTATGTATGCTTACCTAACATAGCTGAAAATCTAAGGTCTGCTGAAATTATAGGATATAGTTCTACCCATAAGACATTGATGTGAGTTTACCTTCTTCATGTAATGAATCTAATAAAGACTAAAAAAATACAAATGAAAAACTTTGCCTTTTAAACCTATTCACCCGAAGTACTGAATAATTTAAAACTTACCAAAAATTGATCCCTATTTTTTCTATGCTGCCGTTTTATCCTTTTCTTTTCAAATTCTTTCTCCTCTTCCTCTTCTTTTTCTAATGCCCTAATATGTTCTTCAAAAACAATTAAAGCATCTTCTTTATCCATACCTACGATACAAAATGATATTTAACACAAAAAAATTATGATTTGCTGAAAACATCTGGGAGAATTATTTATACCTAATAAGCAAACATCATTTTTAAATGTAGCATTTTCTAAGAGTAAGAATTGTGCTTCTGACCAGGTAGTATTGTAACAAATAGATGTCATGCTGTCTAATAACTCAGCTAAAACTTTCATATTTCGTTTCTTCAAAGCTCTCGCTTCTTCTTTCTCTCGTTTGGCTAAATTAAAACAAACATCCTCATAAATATCTCTCCTGTCTAGGTCTGCTACATTTCGCCAAACCTAGAAATAAAAAATCAGATAATAATTCGGAATATAGGTAATTTTATGAGTAGTAAAAGTTTACTCACATCCATATAGCCAAACATTTCTTCACATTTATAATATTTTGTAGTTGAAGTCATGTCTTCAGAAGACATCAGAAATTTTTCTAAGTTCTCTTTAGAACGTTTGGCTTTTAATCTGGAAAATGAAATGTACCAATATTATTCTATAATCAGTAGTGATAAATTAAATAAGACTCTTGTTAGTCATATTCATATGTTTTGAACTAAATTATGATTATGATTCTATTGATAAATTTATTAAATATTTTTTTGTGTAACTTTATTTAATATATTATCAATACAATACATCTATAAAATCGATCCATACCTTTGCTCCTCCTTCTCATCTTTCTGCTTTTGTGTTTTATAAGCATTAAATGCTTGTTTTTTCTCATTTAACTTTTTCAATGTCGGGTATCTAGGATCTTTGCATATCATTTTGACACACAATTCCCAACTAGCATTCGATGGTACATCTTTTTCTTTGAGAAGTTCTTTAAATGCCTCTATTGCTTCTTTTTTATCTTTAAATTGGATTTCAATCGATTTAGGTTCAGGAGTGGTTGGTTTTTCAGGTACAGGTACTACTTCTGTAACAGTCTGAGCTACTGTTGGAGGTGTTTCTGGCACAGAAATTGCTGCTAATGTTGCTGCCATTGCTTGATCCAAAGCAGATTTGGAATCTTCGGCTGGAATGATATTAACATTCACCCATTGAGCAAATATGATGACTATCCTTTATTAAATGTAAATTTACCTGATGCTTGTGTAGTAACAGCACTGGATGTAGTAACGGGAGCTATCACAGAAGGTGTAGGGGAAGTGGAATTCAAACTCCTAGAACTATCAATGCTCTGTTTTGAACTTATATTAGGCAAATTCAGCAATGTCTACAAAAGCAAAGCCGATATTAAGAAAAGATATTGACTGTCTGTACTCACTCATTAGAATGTCTTGCCTTAATTTCAGCTAATTCTGGAGGAATAACCCATCTGGATTCTTTTGTATTTACATTATGATAGTAAACCTTGCCTTGATCGGAATGATACTCTTTCCATGGGCATGATGACAAAAGTTTCTGAAACATCATGAGAAAAATATAATACAAATTTAGTTTAAAATTGTTTTACGAATTAAAATTTATCAAACCTCCGCAGGAGTTTTTAGTTCATCTGGTTTCTCCCATGAACTTTGTTTTGTAATTGAATTATAATAGTATACCCTGCAAGTAAAATTAAGGGATTTTTATATTGGATACTTCATTTAATATAGTACTAATTTAAATTGTCCTACCTGCCATCAGGAGCTTTATGTTCTGTCCAAGGAGTAGGTACTGCGGGCTCTACTGGTGGTACTTTAGGTACAGAATCTGCCAGTGGCAAAGCAACATGGTTTTCCTGTACAGAAATTGTATATATTGAAATACCAGTCAATAACGGTGCAGGTAATTTATGTCATGATACAATTCATATAAAAAAAATTTGTCATCTACATGACTAAAAGCAAGTTTAATTTGTACAATTATTTTTATTAGTGAAAGTATTTAAGAGCTAGATCATTATTAATATGCAAATTTCTTATATTACACTTACCGGTTTAATTACAGGAAAACCAGGTGGAGGGATGTTAAATTGTGGCACCATGGTGGGAAACATAGGTGGCGCCATGGCTGGCATTGGGATCAGGGGTGCTGCCTGATTTGCAACTGGTCGAGCCCCAATCATTGCAGATCCAGCAGGAATCATGGGGGTCACTCCAGGCATTGCTTGAGCTACTACCGGAGCATTTGTAGGCAATATTGACGGATTAGGTGACAGCATAGGTGTTCCAATAAGCGGTGGAGTTCCAATTAATTGTCCAGGATATTTAGAGTTGTTGACGGCTTCCTGAAATGGTTCACTAACGTCACAAATATAGAACGAGAGTTTCTGATGTTTTATCGTATTGAAAAAGTACTTTAAACTGAAACCCTAAATCGATAGTTTACAGAATTTAACCTCAACTTAAATCTGCACTTTCAAAAAATGGCACGTACCATTAAATTTGTTCATACTATTTAAGAACCGCACAATTATTATAAATTCTACAACATTATTCATTTATTAACATAAGTTTGCAATCAAAAATTAAAAAAAAATATTAATATATCACAAAAGATGAAAAAATATCATTTTAATATTATTTGACGGCTGTCGGCTTCTCTCTATCGTGTTAACCAAGTTATACCAACAGAGCGAAAAAGTAACTGGGATGAATATCTGAAAGAGCGCGTTTATTCAAATGCAAAATTGTTTGATCTATTCAATTTATATTGAAAATATTTTTATATTTTATTATTTTAAAAGTATGAAATTAATCAAAGACTCATGTAAATAACATAAGACAATTCATGTATTTCTCATAAAATTTACAAAAACACGATTAACCATATACAAAATAATAAAATTATACAAAATATTATATAAAATTGTATCTTATTTTTCTTATTGAACCATTGGTGTCAGCCAGTTCAAGAATTTCATACAGGCCTCAAATCCTATAAAACAAGCTGCATTTGCCGGAAAAGCTCTTAGCATTACAGGAACTACCCCTTTGTACAAAGCCAATGGACCTTCCTTCTGCATAAGTTCAGCAAAAACAGACCTTATTCCATGAGGATAAGTTCCTTCAGGAGCTGAAATTGTTTAAACAAGTTCTTATGCATTAAAAACATTCGGCAAAACGGATTATATAAACATATATCTAAGCAAATGAAAAAGAAAACATGTTCATTGTTAGACAATGCTATTCTTCTATTGTTCAATATGCTGATTCTAGAAATGTGATATCTAAATGATAAATATTTATTTATAAGACCATTGAAGTTTAATAATCAGTTGTTTTCAAGAGAGCTTTAATAACTATAAACATTTCAAATTCATAGCTGGCATTAATATATTTTACCTGCGTTCTTATAATTACCTGATTGAAGTCGACTTTTCAAAACATCCGCCGGCATACCTACGCTCCAGCAGCCAATTCCGGACATTCCTCCTGCAATTATGGTATTAAAAAGACTGATTTGGCCTGGTTTTCCAGTTTTAGGGTCTATAGGAGTCAACAGCTTTTGAAAATACTCGTAGGTCAAGAAATACATCCCACTTGCAGGAATATCTATTTAATTGGATAAAATAATCATTTAATGAAAACTTATAAAATAATAATATAATAACATACTCTAATATAATTTTAAATAGCTATCTTATTAATTATTTTTCATGTAAGACATTTATATAAATATGTATAAATTCTAGTATTGCGCAAAATAATAGTTGAAGTGATAAAATGCACCAGCTGTGCATTGGATTCCGTTTCTTGTAAATAGCATTTTATTTATCTAATTTGTGCAAATTATCTTTCTTGTTTACATGAATCTGTCATGTCAGGAATCTAGTAGACAATACATTGAAAATAAAATGTAAAAATAATGAACGCATTATTTCAATACGATGATGCAGTACAACGCACTTTACAAAACATTCTTGGTTATCTGTTCGTAGTATATCTCCATACATCCTGTCAGCATCCTCGATACGTTTCCTCAACTTTATGATATGCCAAAACAGTATATCATACACAAATATTTTGCAATTTGAAAAAAAAATAATAAAAATTAATTTGGAGTAACGCGTTGCAATGCTAGATCTACTTATAATCTTAAGATACTTATTTGGTCATATATTTACAACTATAAATAAAAAGAGTTCAAACATTCAATAATTAAAATTCAAATTTTGAATAAAGTCCTGCAGGAATAATTAAACATAATTCAATAAAATAGTCTAGATTAGTATATTTTAATTAAAATTTAGCTATTAGATAAAACATCCAACTGTTATTTTGAAAACAGTTTTCATGGAGAAAGAACATGGTGTCCCAAAAACGCAGCCCCTCATTACAAATGTTAATGATTTTTAATAATAAAACCATCGATCATACAGTGTTTTTGCTATAATATAATATACATATAATATTTTACGATGTTCGTTAGAATTTTTAAGATTTAATTGCAAAACAGAGGCCCGTTTGATCTTGACCAAAAACTAATTAGGACGATTCCCAGCTGATTGTGGTTCTTGGTTCAAGATTTTTGATGCTGATGTGACCAGAATGTAAACAATCATCATTTACCAATAAATATTTTTTTTAATACAGATACTGAATCTTTTCCAAATAAGATAAATTTTTACTATTCTCGTTTTCCGAAAAGCGGGGTTGCATTCGTTATCTCCTCGAATGTTAGGCGAAGTCGCAGCAGTCGCAAAAGCAACTCGAGCGCGGCCACCGATGTCGTGGCTAATCCGATCCAATTCACAAAGTGGTGCTAGTGGTGAATGAAAGTGGTGCAAAATGTGGTGCAGACAAATTGTGCTAGTTTTGGTGGTGTTTATACTTTTGTTGCATTTCGTCAATAGCAAGGTGAGTAGATGAATTTTCATCTTTTTGGGAATACAGGGCAAATTTGTGAAAGTTGATCTTATGGACTTTTAAAAGTATTTATTAAAAACAAGGTGACATGCATCCCCGCAATTATTAAAGGTACTATAAACAAGTAATAATGCTAGTATAGAGTTTTTTCAATTTTTGGACCAAATATTAATGTAATACTTAATGTGTTCAGATACTATTTAAAAAAAAACTCTTAAATTTATAAATTCCCAGAAAATGTATGAATATTCTTAAAATGTTGGTCGATTGTTGCCGGAAAATTTGTATAAGTATCGTTGAATACATTTATTTACTAATAATAAATATTTATATAAATATATAAAATTTAAAAAATATGATCGTTTACAAATTTTATATATTATATACATATATATTATTGGTAAATAAATTTATTAAAATTGTCGTCAACTAGTTACAGCCAAAGAATTAACACATTACGACTATGAAGAAAAATAGAAAGAAATAACCCGATTTTTACAATTATGTATTACTGAGACAGTAATTTAGTTCGTTGAAGATGAATTTAAAATAACAACAATATTCCGTCTAATCATCATCCTTCCTGTCGGAGCATTCGCCAGCTCCGCTGTTGGCCCATCTGGAACTGTGTTTCCTGTCCCCATGTTGATGCTGGTGACATGTGTCCTGGCACTCCAACATATGCTTTCCTTTCTCATTTAATGCATCCATTAAATTATCGATTGTCTGAAAATTTCTCGATAAGCAATAGTGTTACGCGTAATTCCTAGTATTTTTTCCTACCTGAGATAATAGATCTTTGTTTGTTGTGAGTGTAGGTAGCATGTCCTGGACGGTCATTTGAACCAGAACACCGCCTGTTACACGAAAACATTTGCGTTTCGGGTCTGTTTCTGCTAATGTTTCTAATACTAATCGATGTTCTGCGTAATCGCATTCTAAACCAGCTATACGACCAGCGATTGCTTTCTGTTCGGCCCTTATCACTTCGGCGTCCATTTCACATCTGAGAATTTCAATATATTGGATTTCAAATATGAAGATCCGTTACCAATAAAATAAATTAATAGATAAAATTTGAATAATTCATTCACCTTGTGCATATTTTTTTCGGACGCGGTTTTGCTGTTCTGTCCGGATGAATCTCCGGCTCAACATCACTAGTCTCAGTATCGCAATCAGACATGTCAACAGATTTTTTTTCCTAAACGCGATAAATTTATCGTATCCTTTGGCCAACGTCAAATAAAATTTCTAATATTAGGTCGAAATAAATTTGAGGCAACTTTCCATTGTTTTCGTTTTACATACATAACGATCGATGTCTATGTCCTAATTAATTAAGTTGTAGTTTTATATAATTATTTTATTCTAGGCAAACGTACTTGAAATACCATGCCCTATATCGTGCAGCTGCCAAAAGGCACCATTTAAAGAATTAGCAATCGTAAGATGGATTAAAGAAACAGAATTGACGGCGGCAGTGGGCGCCTATGAAAATGAAGACAATGATGAAAACCCAGAGACACAAGATAATTCAGAAGTATTTTTGATTTTATAAGTAACATTTGCATTACCGTCATATTTTTTATCATTTAATTGTTCAATTAGAATAGAATATCTAAAAATAGTTAGTTAATTGTCAAGGTATATTGTCTACTGTCTATCATTCTTTTTGTATAACTACTTCTACCTATCAATTTAAAAATATTTTTATTTATTTATTCCAATTTTTCAGTTGCCCTCTGAATATGATAATGATGAAGAAGCTCATCACCTGCCACGTGTTGGCTCTGTCACATGTGTTTTAGGATCTCAAGATATAAAAGAACTTTTAAATAAAATACCAAGAGATACTCAAGCTTTGACCTTAATTCAACCCACAAAGTTAAACGAATCCAATGACTCCGTTCTAAGGTAAGTCGATTTACCAACTAAAATATATTTCAAAAATTGAATCAAATTCAATTCAATTTCAGAACGAGTTGGTTAAACCATTTAGATGACCTGCGTGCTTTGCAAGTCAATGGCAATGAAGGTGCTTTAACATTTCACACAGATGAACCATTAGAAGATATGCTTTATTTGAAATTGGAAGGAACTCGTTTACTTGGAAATGGATTCAGCGGTCCAGCTGAAATGGTCAATGATGAACCCAAGCGCGGGTGTGTTATTTAACAAATAATTGCTAATTATATGAAAATAACTTTGTTAAAATTTAATAGAGTTGATGAAAGTCCAGCAATGGCTTATGGATTTGAAGAACCGGAAGAAGAAATAGTGCCTTATGAAGAATATGTTAAAACTCAAAGAGAACGTAGTAAGGGTGATGATCCATTAATAACATTCTATGGTTGGACTTCTTTGCAGGTAATTTCAACATCCCTTGCGAAGTATTTTATTATTAATAAATGCGAATAATTATCTTTTGCCAGGTGCTTCAAATTCATGATTGTTCATTGCTCGATGTGCAACGTGATATGTTCAACGGTTTAAGTCGTCTACGTCGTCTATCTTTAGAAAGAAATGGACTTCGTTTTATTCCTGATCATGCTTTTCACGGTTGCCCACACCTGCGTTCTTTATCTTTAGCAAGAAATGATATTTTAAATTTATTCTACCGTGGATTAGCCGGTCTAACAAAACTTAAACGTTTAGATTTATCTTATAATAATTTAACTCGGTTATCAGAACGAACTTTTGCTCCATTTCCCAATTTGAAAGAAGTCGATATTAGAGAATCACCTATCAAAGAGGTGTTTCCTAATACTTTTGGTGTTATGAATGCTACTAGATTTTTAGCTTTGGGTTCCAAAGAACAACCTTTGGAATTGAGACCCGGCGGATTTATGAATCTGGGACTATTGGAAACATTATTAGCATTCAATATTGATGTTCCAGAGGTAACAAATGAATTATTTATGGGATTAAATAGCTTAAAATCCCTTACTATGACGGGTGATCTGAAGTCCTTGCAATATGATGCTTTCTCGAATTCTCCTGATCTGCGCGAGCTGATTCTAAATAGTTGTAAAATACAAACAATATCTATGGATGCATTTGTTGGAGCGCCCTATTTAGCAAAACTTGATTTATCAGGAAATGAAATACGTGAACTACCACCAGGTTTGTTTGATCCATTAGTATCATTGAGGGAGTTATATCTTCAACATAACCACATTGTCAGTTTGCCCAAATTTATATTTAGTAATATTAAACCAAAATTAATACGGCTGAATAATAATCCTTGGCACTGTACTTGCAGCATGTCAGATTGGAATCCTATGATCACCAGCAAGGTGAAACGTTTAGCAAAACGTACATGCAAATTTATTCCAGACGAAGGTTTTAAGTGTGGCAAAGACTCTTTTGAGTATGTATATGATAATAAAATGGCACCAAGGTGTGAAAGCCCGTTGCGTTTTAAGGACTGGAACATATTTCATGCACTGAGAAAGCAAACGCATTGCTGGTCAGACAATGGAAATAATATTAGGAAAACAGATAAAAAATCTTATTTGAAAAACAAGCATAAATTATTAAATTCATCTAATGCTCGCACAAATAATACTAATAACATACCAGTGATTACAAATAATGTTATTGAAACTAATCGATATTCCAAGAAATCTATTCCTTATTTAGATGATGAAATTAATTATTTATCACCGATGAATCATGAAGTCAGTAAAACTGCTATTACTCCAAAACGATCAAAGGCTCAAAAGTTATTTAATACTAAGTTGCAACGTTTGGCTAACAAATTTAGCCTTAAATATGAAAAACCAAATAAATCCAAGGATTTATAAATCTACCATACTTTAATGCTCTTTTTAAGACAACTGTTTAAGTTAAAATTATGTAATATACAGACTTTATATACTTAAAATAAATATACGTCCAAAACTTATAAACTTTGCTTATAATTCTATGTGAAAGATATACTTTAAAACCGTCCAATATATAAATATATTAACCAATAGTTAAACTATTTATATAGTTTATTGAAATACCTAACATTGCATTGGTGATACTTATAAATAAGATTATAATGTTACTTATGAGTATCAACGATAATATATATATATATATATATATATATATATATATATATATATATATATATATATATATATAATTGTTTATATGCAGTAAATAAACATACCCCTCAAAATAGTAGCCACAGTTCCTTTATAAAGGCTTCTGACTCCTCCTTCTTGATACAGCTTATATCCAGTGCCTAACACACCTTGATATTTTGGTTTCCCATCAGTTTGAGACTGCAAAACAAGACTGATTACCATAAATTATATTAAAAAAAAATTTTTTTTTTTAATTACCTGAGTCTGTAATAAGCATTTAATTCTTTCCACTGGTGCCATCACTATGGTACAGCACAATCCAGAAAAAGCACCAGCCAGAAAAAACTGGTGCAAAGCCAGCTCATCCGTCGGACTGCGCTGTTGTACACGTTTTCCAATACCAAATGAGAAAAAGCTTAGACCGAATGAGGGAGCTACACTTACCAGAGGAGCTGATACACCCTGGAAAAATAAGAAAAAAAAATTGTATCGGTATTTAATACAAAAATATGGGTTGTATTACCTTATATAAACCAAGAAATCCTTCTTGAGCTACTATTTTTCTAAAACAATCAAAAGTCCCAGAGTATTTCGGTAATTGTCCCGGTTCTGGTTTGGGCATAGTTTGTAGTCGAACCTGAGATAAAAAAATGATAATACATATTTTAAATAATGATCAAACCAAATATTTAATTAATTTATGCAATGACTCTACTTGAACATGCAAGTTGTGCATAAAAATATATAATGAATTGAAAGACATATCATTTAAAATTTCAAAAACTAGTGATAATCACCTTAATTGTATCTAAAGAATGACCTGCAACAACAGTGCAGACCCCACCAACTCCCCCGCATATTAAATACCTTACTGGATCAACGTTAGGATTAGACATTTTTACTTTATATTAGTAAAACCTTTAAAAATAAAGAATTTAATTAACAAAAATGATTACAATTATAAATATAAAACATTCAAATTAACAATGCTAAAAATATGATACAAAAATACATAAATTAATAATTTTGTTTCATGATTGAGACAATAGAATGACATTCAAAACTATAAATAAAACAACAAAATTGTATAAAATAATCTATCGTAAGTAGTATTTTATAAACCATATTATACAAAGTTTCAATATATAACAATTGTATATAAAATCTTCTATTATTAACAAAGTTTAAACTTTTAATGTGATTCAAGATCATATATGCTATAAATTTTAAAACACATTATGAATAATTGACCCAGTCAAAATTTCGGATCTCATACAGATCCATTAAAATTATGACAAATATAAAATTCTATATAATTGCTTTATAAGTTAGGTGCTACAAAATTTAAGAACTTCATAAATATTTCGAAACCAATAAAGCAAGCTGCATTAGCTGGGAATGCTCGGAGCATGACTGGTGTTACACCCTTATATAAGGCAAGAGGACCTTCTTTCTTCATGAGCTCCCTAAATACGTCTCTAATTCCATTGGGATATGTACCCTCCGGCGCTGAGAAAGAATAATTTATATTATATATACATATATATATATAATATATATATATATGAAAATAAATCTGATTTCTTCATCTTTTGTATCCAACCTGTTTGTAATCTACTCTTCAGCACATCAGCAGGCATACCGACAGCCCAATTAGCAATACCAGCCATTCCACCAGCAAATATAGTGCTGAGTAAACTGATTTTACCAGTAGGATTTCCTAATTCATCAACAGGTGACAATCGTTTCTGTATGTATTCATAGGTCATAAAATACATTCCACTAGCAGGTACATCTAAAAGCAAGGGAATTAAAATGTGATCCAATTTTTAAGTATATAATTATCTACCTCTGAGTAACGTAGCGCAACTGCCCTTATAAATGCTTTTAGTGCCACCTTCTTTGTATAATTGCTTTGCACAGTCAACCATTCCATTATATTTTTGTGGATGAGCACCACCTTGCTGTAAAATAAGTAAATAATACATCAAGGTATATAAAATACATCCAAATCAAGCAAAATCATTTATTACTACCTGAATCTGAAGTAAGCATTTGATACGCTCCCCTGGAGCCATAACAATTGTTGTAAATACTCCGCTAAAAGCTCCAGCAGCAAATAACTGAGTTAAACTTAATTTATCTTCAGGACTAGTTTGTTGTAATTTTTTCCCTAGACCAAATCCAAAAAAGCTCATGGCAAAGATTGGGGCAACACCTGTGAGAGGTGCAGACATGCCTCTGTATAACCCACGTACACCTGGGGCAAAACTTAATATTAAACTGATTACATGTGGACATTTTAATGAAGATAATGATTAATTATACCTTCTTTTCGTACAGTTTTGCTGAAACAGTCAAATGTGCCATTGTATAATGAGGGTTGTCCGATAACTACTGGCATAGTTTGCAAGCGAACCTAAGAAGGAAATTAAATCATATTTGGAATGATGTCCATCAAAGGTACTTAAATACTTAAATTTGCATTAATTAACACAATAGAAATTGTAGAGAAATGCAAAATAATTTCTTATATTCCTGATTAATATAGTACAACCTGATTAATATAGTACAACACTTATACAGTTTATTTCTACCAATTATTAATTTACCTTTATAGTATCAAGTGGATGGCCGGCTAAAACGGTACATATTCCACCAAAACCACCGGACAGAAAATATTTAATAGGACTTGAATTTTCCGACATTTTTAAAAATAATTTTACTATAGTATTCGAAGTCTTCAATTACACTACGGCTAAATAAAAAATACTGATGCTATTCTAAACAGACAAACCCGATACAAACACAAAAATTAACCTTTGTACTAGGTACATAAATAAAACTTTGACACTATGCTCGGGATGCCATCACTTCGTCTGCCATATCTTGATTGTGGCCATTGTGGCCAAATATTATCAAAATAAAAAAATTACATCAAATTTGATTGAATATCATATCATAACGTATATCGAATCAAGTTTTTATAGAGGTTAATATCCATGCACAGTCGGTAAATGTTTACCATTTTTTTATACAAACGAATTGTTTGATTTGCACAGATAAGACAAGTGTCATTCAAAAGTAAAGTTGGCTTGATACTTATTTTATATTTCAAACTTTAGTTAATGTACAGAATGTTTCTTTATACAAAAATATTTAAAAACGCCATTTGAAACGTAAAGTGCGTTTTTATTGATCATGGACTTACTATGTAAATTGTATTTTAAATAAGTATTTAAATAATGGCGCCTAAAAAATTTGAGTCTGCTTTCGTTACCAACTTCATTTTGTCAGTTCTGTCAATACAAATACAAAAAAAGTTCAAAACCAAAAAGTTTAGATGTCACATGACTTGAAAATTAGTAAATAGTTAAAATTATAATAAAATGAACTGTTAATTATTATATTAAATTGGCTTAAGTGATAAATAGAACTAGAAATTATATATTATTTATGGATCATATTCCTAAATAATTTATCCTTATGAAATATGACTGAAATTTTCAAAGGTTAGTAGGTCGTCCAAAGTATTTTTAATTGATCTAGTTTTACAAGTAATATATTTAATTCAGTATTGTAGATATCAACGAAACGTGGATGCGATTATTTGACCATCGTCCTTTTTTGAATGGCGAGATAAATTATATGCAACAAGAATTTGAAGTAAGATATATTATTTCTCTAACTGATGTAATGTTTTTTATACACCTTTTTATTTTAGGGAAAACGCAAAGATATAGAAATAGAACATTTGTTCTCCACTTTACAAGTATCCACAGAAATTGTTGAAACTCATATACCACGAGCAAAGATTTGTTCTGAATCTTATTTGCCCTCAATAAAATCATCTGTAGACAAAGCACTGGAAGTTAGTGAATCAGTTTTCTCTGAAGATTTTGAAAAATCAGTTGTATGCATCTTTAGATTTCAAAATTTATTACTTATTAACACTGAAAATTAATCTTCTGTCCTTTGTATCTTTTAGAAAGAAGCTTTATTAGAAAAAAGAGCAAAACGTGAAGCTGGTTGGGAAAGTTTCTTGGAAGACGTAAACCAACGTTACCAATCAATAGATTTAACATTTGAAGAAAAAGAGCAAGAGCTGAATGAGTTTTATTCTGATTTAAATAGAAAATTGCATTTACATACATAGCTTTGAATATGGACAATATTGGGAGCATTATTGATACTAGAATAAGAATAAAACCATCACAAGAACTTGTCAAATTCATCAACGATATAGATGTTGATCAATTTACAGAAAATATATATGAACTAAGAAAGGCATCAGATAGTTTGAAAGATAATTGTTCAATATTGGAAACAAATGATTCTAACTCTAATAAACTTCTTTCACAAGATATTGAAGTTCTAAATAAAATTAAGAAAGAATATAGTCAAAAAAATGATATTAAATCTGATAAGAAGCCCAAGGAAGAAGAGACAAAACCAGAAATATTAAACAATGATAAACATAAGCATATTTACTTAGATTTAAAAGATTTAGATTTTATTCTGGATTATATTGTAAAACGAAATGCATCATCTACTGACAAAATTTATTTACATGAGTTATTAGCTAAAAGTACTATAGTTCTACCACAAAATGAAGTAATTAAAAGAAATCCAATATTGGAAGCAAGGTGTGAAAAACTAAGAGCAGAACAAGAAGCCAGGCATTATCGCAGTATTACAAAAAATGTAGACAACCAGCGCAAGCATGAACCAGAAGAAACTATAGCCTACCAAAGTAAGAATTATATATTTAAAAAATTTAAATATATATTATAACATTTTTTATTTACTTTCTAGTTAGTCAGATGAATAGACAAATGATAGCAGTGCTCCAGTTTATATTCTCTGTAGCTGCTGGATTTGTTTTTGGCTTCATTGGTTTGGAATTGATGTTTGGTGAACTTGATTTTGGTTTTCGTTTACTGATGGGTATTATGTGTGCACTCATAATTGCAATTGCTGAAATTTACTTCTTAGCTAAAAAATTAAATGAGGAAGAAGTCATAATAAATGTACCTACTCAAGCACCAAAAACTACAGCAGATGATAAAAAATCTGTGGAAAAAACTATGACTATGAATGAAAATATGAAAACCAAAATCAAATTGAACAAGCAGAGCTAAATGTTTCATATTTCTTTTGAATGAATAGTAATATATTAATGAAGTAATAATTTTTTATATAAATAATAAAATATGAAATAAAGCATGAATTTTACACTATTTAGCTGTAAAGTTTTGAATATACTAAACAAAATTAAATTAAACTCACTATAATTATATAAAACTTACTTTTTATTGAATCGTGTTTTCTAAAATATTATAATAAAAAGTGTTTTGACTTATAGTATTCTAAAATAATATAAAGTAGCAAAATTACATATGTTGGTGTTGAATATATACATGTATATATATTTCTAATACACCGTCATTGAATTCTCAAAAATAGTTGCTAGTTGTTCTTCTGATTGTGCAAGTGGTGCTAGTCCAGTTAATCTTTGCTGCAATTAAAATATTAAACTCTTTATATATATATATATATATATATATATATATATATATATTTGTTGCTTTCCTAATTGATATTAGTTTATTGTTTCAATTTCTCACCTGCGGGAGAGTTCCTTTTACCAATAATGGTATATCTTGTTTTGTGTAACCTAATGCTGTCAACCCATTTTCAACATTTAGAGCTTGCATATAACAACGTAAAGTATCTGCTAATATTTTGCCAGCATCTACTCTGCGGTCATTAGATATATCTCGACCCAATAATTGGGCAGCTTCTAAATGACGTTCAGGAGACGCTTTTGATGTAAATTCGAACACAGCAGGAGCCGTCATTATTACTGCTAGACCATGCGGTATGACTGGCTTGGATTTCGGACTGAGGATATAAATATTTTATGTTAAATCTAACTGATAATGGATGCTTTGCCTGCTCACCTGTATCCTTGTGGTACAAATGTTTTCACAAGTCCAGAAATTGGATAAGACATTGCGTGGCAGAGGTGAACACCTGCGTTACCAAATCCGATACCAGCGGCTGTTGCTCCTAAATGCATCATTGAACGAGCCTTTACATCTCCATCACATTGTGCGGATCGACGAAAATATTTTTCTATATTCTTCAAAACATCAAAACGATCAAATGCTTTGTGAGTGTAAAATATATAGATATTCAATAAGACTCACAACTAAGGCAAACCTGCTCCAAATGTCGGACAAAGGACTTCGTCCTTGATAAGCTGGTCGTAAATTGGGATTAGTCGGCGCAGGCATTCTATCATTATAAGGCAGAGTTGTGAAACTTTCTAAAGCGTGGCATAGCTGGTCAAATCCCGTATGAACCACCACCTGTTAATTGAACATTTCTATTAAACATTGTGTAAAAATTTAAATTTATTTATACCACTTACTGTTTTGGGTACGGAAAGTGTAGGCAAAGGATCGATGAGTGCCAACGTCGGTAGCATTTTGCGGTTTGCTATTCCTGTTTTAACTTTGAGTGGTTTATAATCGAAGACACTAACTGCAGTAACTTCAGAACCAGTTCCGGAGGTTGTAGGAACTTCATTGAAAAAATTATTATCAATCAATTATAATCGATCGGCATTTTATGTTCATGAATATTGCAATATTCAGTTTTTAATTGAAAAAATATTTTTCTATTTATTTATTACTTACTTGCGATCATCGGTTTCAAGTCTACAGTTACAGGTTTTCCTTTACCAATAGGAGGATTTACGTAGTCCAAAAACTGAGCTCTTGGGTCACTGGCATACAGATTAGCAGCTTTGCAAGTATCTAAAACGCTTCCACCTCCGAGGGCAACATAGCCGTCGAATCTTCCAGCTCGACAAAAATCGGATGCGTGGGTTAGACTTTCGTAAAAAATATAATTTAAGTAGTTTTTTTTATCGATCAAGAAGATAATTCGACTTGCTTTAAGGCAAAATTTCATTTACATCTAATTTGATACCTTTTTTCGGTCGGTTCTGATCCAATATTATCGTAAACTTCAAAAGAAATTCCTGCTCTGGTTAAACTATCAACAGCAGTTTGCATGCAGGGTAGTTTTCCTATATGAACATCGGTCATTATACAAGCCTGAAAATAGACACCGTATTAAAATAAACAAATATAATAAAATAATAATCACTACTACTTGACATCAGGCTATTCGGAACGCAAAACTTAAAACTTCTGCCTGGAATCCCGTAGATCTGAGGAATAATCCAAGGAAGAACAATTTAAAAACATAAAGTAAAAAAGTTACCTTTCTAATTTGCATGTTCGATAAGTCCATACCAACTTCTTTAATTACATCAGGTCCATATCGTACTGTACTACAAGACATCTGTAAACATTTGAATGTTTTAATCGAACATTTTAAGTTCTAATAAAAAGAATTATGTTTTACATACTTCAAATGCAGTTTCTTTTCTGGGTCCATCAGAGGAGCAGCTTGAAAACACTACAGGACCTCTAGAATGAGCTGGACAGCTACAACTTTAAGGAAAATTTACTATACAAACACCACAGCATGTGAAATATACGTTATTTTTTAAACTTACGCAGCTACATTGATCACACGAAGAAGATCTTTTATTTTACTTCTGCTCTGCATTTTGGAAATTGGAGACACAAACACTATAAGTTAAATGACTATTATAAAAACTTCATTATTATATATATATTTTAGTATATAAAGTTAACTCTTCATGTTCCGTCTACAAAAATATACAATACTTCAAAATAATAATCAATATGGCATAAAAATGAAGAAATAAAAGAGCGTCAAAACATTGAATGTCAGTCTGATGAAAACATTACACGTCTAAAACTAAATAAACGATAAAAGTTATTTTCGTCATGCTGATAAAAAGTGATCGCGCGGGCACTCAGCTCAAAGAATTCACTATCTGTGAAAATATAATCAATAGATAATATTTGGGTTTGGATTATTACAGAATGAGCGGTTTTCGCTAGAAAATTCGACTAGCAAAAATTTTTTCTCGACGTTTCAAGTCATTCTGCATCGTTTGACGCCAAATTTGGAAAAATTATATATGTATATGTGTGAGGCCTAAAGCGGCGCAATTTGAAAGGAGCGTTTGCCGTCTCCTTATCAATGGGGATCAAATGTATCTTGAATCATTCATATGCTCTCGAATTCGTCGACGAAAAAAACTTTGTTTAAAAATCCGTGGATCTTTAAATATTTGGAAAAAAAAATAAAACGAAAAATAGAAAATCTATGAACATTACCATAACTATAATAGTGTATAAATCAATATAGACATTTTCAAAAAAAATCCACTAACATTTCCATGTATAAATTAGTATTATTACACTTTCGCACAAAAATTAGGCAGAAATTACTAAGAATATCAACAAATGGATTTTAATTTTTATATTTTTTTATTTACTTTTATTGGATTAATATTAAGTACAGTACACACATTGTACATTATCTTATAAAACTATTATAAACATCTAATTATCATAATATAAATAGTATTTATTTTCCCAATTTTTTGCTTAAAATTATTAAGATGGCCTTGTTTGAAGTTCTACAATCTAAGCAGGATGCTTTTGTGGTTTGTGCTGTCGTTCGTTTGAACACCAAAGACTAGTTACCGTAATGCCAAATTTAATAATTGTTTATTGTCGAGCTCTAAAAAAATGTTAGATGTTCCCACAGAATTATGAGTTACAGATAAGGCACTAAACTAATATGTTTCAGTGTTGTTCACAGGTTTGCTTATCATAATAACTAACAATAAGATATTATCATGAGACTGGACATTATACTTACTTACAAGACAATGTAATGTTAAAATCATTACTAATTATAACTATATTTCCTGTTGGTTAAATATGTTTAGTTATAAAGTCATATTTAAACCAATTTTATTTTAAGTAGACAGTATAAACAACTAAATTATTTATTACCCATGCCGTTACATATGACAATATCTCATTGAAGTATCCACAGCGTACTATTTTACTTAAGTAAATTGATCGAGGAATGTATAAGCCAAAGTAACATAAATTAATTCTGATCCTAAAGGTTTGTTCTCTTTGACTACAGTTTCTACAAACAGCGCTGCTGTTAAAATTCCTATATTGTTATTTGCAAATCAATTTACGATGGAGACTAACCAAGCAAATTTTGCGACAGAATTAAATATTTTAAAGCTACACTTGTTCGGGGGTAATTTTTTCATGATGGAACGGACTGCTCAAATAGCTTGGATAGCGTGTCACTATTGGCGTTGGTGGACATCTGATTTCTTCTGATAGAGGTTGATATACTAATCCACAATCCTTCTTCTTTACGATCTTGTGATTCACAGCAGTTATTATATTCTGATATTTTAATGAACGTTGTCGGTTATTGGTGCAAATGTGAACTATTTTTCCAACGACAAACAAAACGGTAAGAACGATCAAAAGGAGAAGCAACATAGGCCACACGTAATGATAGCGACCTCTGAAAATGCTTTCATGACTTCCTGCATTTGCAGACTGCAAAATTTCAGCTTCCAAGAGATCATCGTCCAGATCGCTGAACACAGTGCTGGAATCGTCCATTTTATTTTGCATTTTCTCCATGAGTAAAATAGCTTCTTTTAATGAAACTTTATCTTTGTTATTTTTGACTCCCTTTGAATCATATTCATACTCGTACACATAATCATCATTATCATCATCATCGTCCAGTGAACTGTCATCATCGTCATCATCTTCCAACGATTTTTCTTTATTCTTGTTAGATTCTTGTTCGATCTTCATTTTGCTGTACTTTTCTACATCCTTGTCAACTTCTTGAATCTTTTTATCCAACATTTTCTCAATCTTTGTAAGATCGTCTTCATCATAAGCGTCTCCGCAAATCTTACGAGCTACAACATTCCATTCCTCTATTACATCATCTTGTGGGTAGAACTCAGAAAGATCAGATGAGTAAGGCTCTGGTTCACCTGGACTGATGTTATTGTCTCCCATATATGTGATTAAATCACGGAAGTCGACATCACATTGAATTGGATTTTGTGAAAAATCAATAGTACGTAAACGTGAACTTACTTCAAGTTCAGCTACTCGGATAGAACGTAAATGATTTTTAGATATGTTCAAGAATTTTAAAGAACTGAGTACATCTTTAGCACCAACATTCGATTCCAACCACAATTGATTAAGACCGCAATCACTCAAATCCAACCAGTTGAGAAGACTGAGAGGAAGGAATACTTTAGCTTCAACGGTCTTCAATGGATTGCCTGATAACAAAAGTTTGTTTAAACTTTTACTATTTTTAAATATTCTAGTATCGAGTTTGTTGATTTTATTATTACTCAAATCTAAGCTGATTAAATTGCGCATATGCCAGAAAATATTATATTTTAAATCTTTGATCGAGTTCTGAGCTAAATTCAGTTGAGCCATGGAAGGCATTTCAGCAAATGTATGTTTGTCTAAGCTAAGTAATCCGCAATTTACTGCTTCAAACATATAAGTGGTAAACGATGACAAATTTGAATGAAATCTAGGCAAATTCATGAGATTCGGGTTGTTAGAAATTTTAATAACATCCAAATGATCATTATTTTGGAAGACGTTGTCAGGTAAGAAAGTAAGTAGATTATGTGTCAAGTCAATAAATCTCAAGTCAATCAAATTATCGAAAGCTCTTGGATAGATTTCTACTATTCCATTACTACTGAGATTCAAACTGCTAAGAGATCCAATTCCTCTGAACATATCAGCATCTATAAGAGAAAACTGGCACTCGCTTAAATCCAACACTTGCAGTTGAGGTAAATTGAAATCCTTAATTCGTACCATAGGGTTATTTCTTAATCTCAAAGTCTCTAGATTCTCATTAAATATTCTTCCAGACAAATTTTTGATCTGGTTGTCAGAAAGATCGATCTCTTCCAATAAATCGGCATTCAAGAAAACTTTGCTGGTTTCAGGAGCTTCACCGAAAGTTAATTTATTGCCTGCAAGATTGAGGTACATCAAATTTGGTAATTTGGCAAAAGTATCATCGAGTAACCAGGGAAGATTACAATTTGACATATCCAATTCTTGAATTGTAGTAGAATTAATGAAGTTCGAAGCAAAAGATTTGCTATTAACTACATTGCGCAAACTATTACCCGAAAGACTGAGTAAAGTTAATTTCTTGTTATCGGCGAAAGTATCAGGCTCTAATTGTGTGATTCCGCAGTTAGTTAAATTCAAAGAATAAAGTTCATGCAAACCATGAAACGCTCTTGATGATAAAATTTCTACTTCACTGTCTACGATTTTAATAGACGATAATTTGGATAAACCTAATCTTCTGAAAATATTATCATCCAATCGAACCTTCTTCGCGTTTACCATAACAAGATCTGAAATGTCAGAACCAAATTTCTGAACCTCCGGGTCTAATTGGGTGCAATGGGCAGTTCTAAAATTGTTGGTGTTTGTTTTACAACGACAATCACGCGGGCAAAGTTTATCCTCTGAAAACAGGACATTTTCTTTCAGGCTCGGATCACTTGAGTCATCATCGTAAGCTTCATCGTCATCATCATCGTCGTCGTCGTCATCGTCATCATCCTCGTAGAAATCGTCATCACCATCGTCATCATCGGCTTCATTTGGATCTTCGATGTCATTGCTGAGATCAAGATCTTTGAGCTCGGCCGGTTCTGTTTCTTTGTCAGCTTTCTAGAATTGGAAAAACAAACGATAATTTTCAAATCACCATAACATAAGTACAATTTATTGTCATTTTATTATTAACCTCGTCAACGACTGGCTTATCGGAGACCAGATCCGGCTTGGTGGTCACTTTGGTTTTGGAAACGTGCAACTTCTCTTTGGCTCCATCCTGGACAGAGTTGCCAATTGGCTGATGAGTTGTAGCGCAAGCCGCTACGGCTACCAGACAGAACAATAAAAGGACGCGCATCCTCTATGAGTCTCGTTCAAAAAACACAAAACTAAGAGAGAAAAAAATTAGATACATTATCCAATAAATTAAAAAAATAATATAAAACAGATATTTTTAAGAAACCTTGTATAAACCTTATATTTTTTTAATTTAAATTATGTGTAAATCTTGAATACTATATCAGGAAAAACGTGGTGTCTTCTACGAATTGAAATTCACAAATGAAGATGCTTTTATTTTATAAATTTTGCCATCGAAGTCATTCACATGGGATGTTGATGAATTGCAGACGATGGATTCGCGGATGTTGTCTTTATGTCGTATAAATAACGACAAGAATGGAAAATTACTCTTTCATTGCATTGCAAAACAAAATCTTATATGGAATTTATTCAGTTCTATAACCTCGTTGTTATTGATTCCCATACGATTGTTTTGCACGTTTTAAAATAGTAAAAGACATTGTTTTAAAAGATGGATATAAAAGAGTTTATGTATGAAATTGATTTGCTTTGTGAAGGTTGTAAATTAAGATTTAATTGTCGGAAAGAAATTAAATGCAAGGTGAGCTTCGTAAAAATGATAAAATCACTCAAATATTGTGAAATACTTTAAGCTCACAACAAATAGTAGTAAGACAAATGATTCACGAGCATGTGTCAAGTGATATGGAATTACTAATTACTAACACTAGTTTTAGTATTCCCAGCAACACCTAAAAGCCAAACAGCACTATCTTGTGATATTTGACAGAAAAATCTTGTACAAGTTTCCAGAGAAAGTGCAAATATACTCATTGTTTTTCTTTGAAAAAATTTATCTTGACCTAAAACGCAATATAACTTATAGTAATACAAAACATCTGTAGTCAAACCAATTTTTTGTAAATATTTGAGCTTTCGATTCAAGGACTGATTATCTTTCTAAAGTACTTTTCATTATATGTCTTGGTAACTTTCCGAAATTTATGTAATTGCCAGAAAGTTTGATTTCAAAATGTTATTGGAATTTGTACTTATCATTTGCATGTGCAATTTCTCGTTGTTGACCATATGTATTTGTCCCGGTAATTCAACCCGGAACCTTTTTGTTATCGGCTACAGACCAAGCAAACTGCATGATAAAAACTATGGTCGAGCACGTGTTGAATTGTTAAAACGACATTCAAATACGATTGTTGTCCAAAACTATCACAAAGATAATAGACAACCAGTGGGTTGCCTAGGTAGTAGTAAGGGATTACATCACAACAACCTACAGAACACAAAATAGTTCTGGTAAAAGGTTACCAAAACTCTTCCAAGCAGAACCTAAAGGTCCTGAAAGAACCTAAATAAATACTTAAACAAATAATTATTTATTATTATTTCATAACACTGAGTCGTATGTCACCGATTGAATTTTACATAACCTTGGCGCCTCTCTTACTAATATTATTATAAATATATTTGCATATTTAAGTGTGCAAAACGCCATTTGAAGATCTGTAAAGTTATACAGAGAATTTATTTGCACTTGAAAGCGTCGAGAACACTAATCGTGATAATTACTGACAATAATAAGACGACCGACGAGGAAAATGATACGTTTGTAAACATTTAAGTTGTTTTTGTAGAAGAAATAACTAAGAGTTTTTGGATTCATTAATTTCCAATTTGGTTGCCATACTTTGCAGTTTAGCTTACTCCAATTTGGTCGTCGATTCAGACAGACTTAAGCAAATCGGATTTTCAGGCAAAAACACAAATTCGTCTTTGAAAAGTTAAAAACCGAGAATAAATGACATCAAATTATAATCAGTTCCTGTATAAAATATATATTTCCATCAACATACGTCTTTGCTACAAACATCCAAAACATCCAATCCCACTTCTGTTCTGGATCTAACTTTTCTTTATTTACAAAATTATGTAAACCAAAGCATATGTTTAGGTAAACAGTTTTTTTAATTATAATTACACAAAAAGCTTATGTAGGTATGCTTAAACTGTTTTTTGAATTATAATTATAAAAAAGTTCATCCACGATAGCTCAATCTTTTACAAACAGAGGAATGCACTGTAAAATGTGTTGAGGACATATTAGAGCATAAACCATAATAAAATAATGAAAATAAAAATATTTTGATTAACTTTGACGATTATGACCTAATGGCCATAATTACAAAAGTAATACGACACCTGTGCATAAATATAAATTGAAATCTCACGTAAGCAAAAATTATATAAGACGACTCGAATACAGACTTTGACTAAAAAATTGATAAAAAATGTGTAGATAATATATTATAAAATATAAAATGAAATTTTAAAAAAATATTAATAAAAATTAAGTTTTGGCCACGATGACATTTTTATATAGAGTGGTAAATAATTTTTCGAAATTGGTGACCCCGACATGAATAAAAAAAAAGTATATTACAAAATTTGCTTAGAAGATCCTTGGATCTTGTTAAAAAAATTCAAAATCACTTTCTAAATTTTTAGATTAGATTAGATTTAGATTTAATTTTCCTTTACCAAATGTTTTAAACCCCTGACCAAGAATTCGAGTATTCCTTTATAAGCATTTCCAGTATATCGTCCCACTGACGATAATTCTTAGAAAAGTCACCAGCAAAACTTTAAAGATCGTTCCGACTGTTTTATCCTTTTACCACACACACGTACATGCCCTTCAGAAATAGAATAAAACCATCAAAGGTTCTCAAATGTTTGTTCTCGAAAGAAAAAAAACTGAGAATTTTTACTTGGAAGAATTACTTCCTTATGGTTCAGAAGAAGATTTTGAAGGAGGCGATACGCTTTTGCCAGTATGAATTCATTCATGGACATAAAAGTACATTTGTGGTAAATTTGTACCTGTGAGGTACAGGTATTTGGAGATAGAGGTGTGAAAAGGAAGAACGAGTAAGTATTTATATAATAGATTACAAGTAATCTCAGGGCAATATTAGCTGTGTACTGTAATTTTCTACTGATTTATTAGAAGGCAACCCGATGGTTGTCCTCTCTATAAGATAGAATCTGTATTTTAGATGTCATGCTTTAGGTACATAGGTACATATTATTTCTATTAATTATGCTTCTTGTGATTTCAAGGATCTTTAAATTTTTAATTAAAAAGTGTACAAATGTAAAAAAAAAATTACATAATAACATTTCCTGGAAAACGACACGAACAAAAACCCCAAAATGTAGAAACACTTTTAAATAAAAAATCCAAGTTGAAAAATCTTGATCTTCTCATATAAAATATAAAGGTTCGTAAGAAGTACTTTACAAACAAAACTGAAGACTTTTGAACAAGATTTAAATTTGTTTAAAATAAACAAAATATTTGCAAATAAATATCTAATTCATAAAATGAATTAATCATATATTTACTAATATTCCTTTATATCGAAATTTAAAAGATTAAGTTCTCTCAGCCCTACTGGTATTTAGCGTCTTTGGTTTCGTTTGTTCAGGAAGAAGATGGATGTTCGAAACTACCTGTACAGGTCGTAAATAATTTTTTTCTTTTAAAAATTCTCGAAAAATTCTTTCTGCACTTTACTTTAATGTGCAGATCAGAACTGGATAGAAACTTTAAATTTAATTAGAAAAGACATATATAAAAAATAATATTATATATAATTAGTTGGTTTAAAAATCCGGATGGTTATAAATTCATACACATCAATTCAGACAAAACCAAAGGTAGAATTTTAAAACAAAATTTGTATTAATACAATTTAATATTACCTAAATCTATCCAGGCAATATCCTCTCTGAGGCAAATGCAACAAATTCGTGGCCTAATTATGATTTAAAACAATAATTTAAACAATATCCTGAATTATGAAATGAAAACAATTTACCAAGAACTAAATGACATATTTAATTTAGTGAAGAATCATAGTGGGCGAGAATAGCCGTCGGCATTTATTCGAGAAGAAGATGTATCTTGATATATAATGTGATTTTTTTTCAATTTTATGTACTTTTGAAGGTATCATCCTTTGTGTCATTTTATAATGACTAATAAAAAATAATAAAATAATACAAAACAAAAGGTTAACCTTGTTCTTAATTGTTCAAGAGAGTTATACAGAACAGAGAATTATTGAAATCATATCAAAATTCTCATTTCACGAATTTTTGCTTTGTTTTCTGATAATTATTTGTAATATTATTTTGTAGATTAAAAATATTAAAGCAGATATTTACAGTTAAAACATATAATATTAATTTCTTGGCCAGCAAAAGAAATTAAATAAAATATATAAATGTAATTACCAAAGGCAAATCCAAAGGTAAATATAATAAATAAGTAAATGAAAAGACTCCTGAACTTATCAAATAAATGTATAAATAAAAAATCGGCTCACATACACACATGCATACATACATACACACATACTTTTCCTTAAGTTTGGTCTCATTCGATTCAGAATGGCTTGAAACGTCGAGATTAACATAAAATTAGCAAATCGGATTTTTTGATGAAAACATAAACCTTTGAGACGTTAATGAAATTGCCCCTAAACGTATTACTTCAAATTAGTTAAATATTGTACACTTCAAAGATTACACATATACAAAAATTGTAAGGAAATATTAAATTTTTCATGAAAACTTTACTCTATATATAGTTATAAATTTTATCGTCATTATTTATCATTTTTCCATATTTTTACTTAAATTTGTATGCTATTTTTCTCATATTAATATGAGTAGAATAATTAATCTATAAATTGAAAATTTCCCAAGGTTTCTCAGAAAATCACAGATTAGCCTGAATGGCAAATATCTTGAAGAATTTTCTATGTAACCCGAAATAATTTCCAAATTTATATATTTTACCTATGCGAACTTTGAAAGATGTAGATTAGAAATATAAATGTGAAATTGAGAGATTCTATGTGAGTAATCGGAAATTTCCCAAAATTTCGGAGAAAACAGAACGGTTGCCTTGAGACTATGAATAAATAAGTGAAGAATGTAACTTGAAATATCTTATAATACCATACATAGGACTAAGATATTAACAAATAAAAAAATCTTA